GTTAAAACTGAAGCTATAACTGATTAAGAAATGTTTATTTGTATGAAGACTGTCTTTTAGCAGTCACATTTGCATCATAATTGTTAGTTTTTGTTATGTTCATTCAAGTTATTCAGGCTTCAGAATGTTTTTCACATAATTGGATGATCCATCCACTAACATTGTGACATTTTCTGCTGAAAGCAGTGCTTCTGATATTTGATCAGACGTTAGATTCGATTCTTGCTTGTTGTCGATGAGGCTTTTCAAGACATCTGTGAATGCAGTGAACCAGGTTTCCCTTCCATCCACATCGGTACATAGTCTTGCAGACATGGCTTTCTTCGATGCTTTCGTCTTTTGGGTTGCACCACATGATGGGCATTTAATGATGTTTGCATTGATGTCGTATGGCATTTTTCTGTTGTAAGCCTTTATTTGACATTGGAAATAAATGTTTAGTTTGTTGACAAATTTAAATTCTTGGACTGTAACTTTTTTCTCCTTGTTTTCTAAAAGATCTGGTCCTTTGACTTGTTTGAGTTCTGTTTGGACTTCATCAAAGGTTGTCCATGCTTTGGTTCCGAGCATAGTATTTCCTGAATAGTTTTTCACGCTGAGGTTCTTGAAAGTGTAACTTTTCGAGTTCTGGACCTTGTCTATGAGGTCATCCCATATGTGGAGGATTGCGTTACTGGTTGCATCTTCGATAACGCAATCCTCCTTGACCTTTCCATTCTCGCTATATCTTTTTTTCACTTCTTTGGCCAGCGTTTGGCCAAGAGTTCATAATGCATATTTATATCAAACCAGGAGGACAAAGAGGATATTCTGGACATACAATAAATCTACCTCAAAATGTCAGTGAATGGGCTCAATCACTTCCAAGATACCCCAAAGATTTATCAATAATTATTGTTAGAGCTAAAGGAAAGGGAAATTTTGTTAAAAACCTTTCAGTAAAAAGGCAAGTGGTATCAGATGCAATTCACTGGCTCATTAAAAATAATCCACATTATTCAGACATTGAATTAAATTATAACGCATTAAATTCTTTACCAGAAAATGGTGCACCATTTTCCTCTGGAAACTACTGAATGTCAAGGAGGACAATGGGCAATTTCTTGTAAATCAAACCACAACTTTGCTACAAATGACCAACAGCGATGTAACTTTCACAAGTACCCCATCGTCGTCTTTGTCAGATAATGCCAAACAAAGTAGCCCCGCAGTAGCTTCAAACATCACGTTGAATCAGCTGCCAACACTTACAAGAAATCAGAAAGTTAATGTCACCGGAATCCTAACTCTTGGTGCGCCAGCTATGCATGAGCTGCACGTGATTCTTCGACGAAATAGACGTCGTCCACGTGATACAATTGTGTTGTGTGCATTCCAATTTATGGACCGCCACTTCTGCATGAACTGCACGTGATTCTTGACATTCTTAGCTTCAAGAAGGCGAAATTTACATATTATTTGAGCCCTTCAACTACATTAAAGATCATTGACTATGGAACGTGAAACAGCTATGCTTTGGTGAGAATTGTCTTCTGCTTGGTGTTGGTTTCTAGTGGTCAGAGCGCCTGTGCTCAAATTACTGCTGCTTCGTGTTTGTCTCGCGTGGTCAAAGCGCCTATGCTCAAATTATGTCCTTTCATTTCATTGGTTCTTAGTGTCCCTAGGGACAAATATTTGGAAGGACGACTTTTTTTGCTAAATTCGAGTCACTGCAAGGCTATATAACTGCCGCGCATGCGTTTGTAACCAATGTTGAGATTAGGATTGCAGGCTCCGCTGGTCGCCCGCAATAAGCCACAGGTTTCTCCGATGGTTCATTACTCAAAGGCATTCTCAGTTGAACGACAGCAGATTTTCTAGCTCTGTGCGATCCATTTTCAAAATACAGTTTCTTCAATCCTTTTATGGGCTCTACAGTCCCAAAACAGAGCTCAATTTTACCCAAAAGGGAATTAATAATTCCCAAATGGACCTCAACTCTCCCCATAAGGGGCTCAATTATCGCCAAACGGGGCTCAATAATCCCCAAATGGGGCTCAATAAACTCCAAATGGGGCTCAATACTTCCCAAACGGGGCTCAATAATTGCATTTATGAAAGTGTGGTCAACATCTTGTTGGCGCCAGCTGCCTTGATGGATCACCTGAAAGTATCTTGTTAAGCCTTTCCCTCGTTCACATTGAACTGTGCTTTGAAAACTGTGGCATAATAAGAAACAAACTTTGAGGAAATTTATTATAAAGACTCCACAAAAGACCGCTTCACTTACCTACTTCACCAATCACGGCGTGGGTTTGACTGCGCACAACGTTGAAAGAAAACATCACCTTTTCATCGACTTGTTGTTTTCTTCTCGTTTCCAAATTCCATTGGTCTCGACTATTCCTCGCTCTGTTTTTTTCTTGAATGGGATTCGTCTTAGTTTTTTTGTTTCCAACTCCCCGCAATTATAAATCGATTTGTTTACACATTTTTTTGGTTAACATTTTCTTTCCCCTTTATGTCGACCATCACAAAATGTATACTTTAATGTGGCCTTACTAGTATGACCTCGTAATTTGTGGTATATGAAGTATTTTTCGACATTTTTTGCACTCTTCCATAGGTGTCTTCTTGCTAAAGCACTAGACACCAAAAATTGCTGCTGTGAGACAATTTGCTGACAGGTGCACCCTTCAGTCATTTTACTACCCTTTCAGTCATTTTTGTATTTCTTTCTAACACAGTCACTATTCACATTTCAGTGTAATGATGTTGAAGTAAAGACAACTACTTGTATTATCTGACCGTGTATTTTCTTTGTTTTCATCTGCAAGATGATCACCTATCAAAGATGTGGTCTTTGCTGTTTTAGATGTGGAGAAATCAACTTATCAGTGATTTAGTAGAAGCTTGTTTTCATACTGATTTGTGTCATCATAAGGGTGATTCTGGAGAGAGTAACATTCGTAGGGTTTATGTTAAACAGTTTTCCAACAAAGAAGCTGTTTTGACTTAAAAAATTGCACAAT